AATGAATGAACCAGGAATTGGGATAGCGTGTAGTGGACCCAACATAATTGTCTTTCCTCTACTTAAAGGATTGCCCCCACGCACCTAACACTAGCAGCGGTAACTGGGAGAAGTTAGGAGAAGCATACTAGAGTAGGTCCTTGGATAAAAAGACCTTTCCAAGTCATTAAAATCCTGAGTGACTGAAACTCAGGCCTCTTGGGAGAGGGCCCGGAAATCTCCCTGTGTGATGGGCTATTGGAGACCCCAGGCTGGGCTTGCCTTAGAAGCCTATCCAGGGTGGAGGTCTCAGAGGGCAGGGGATTCACAAAGAGGTGGAAGGGTGCCTGAGGGCAGATAAAACCAGAATACCACTAAGATAAGACACGACAGCCATTGGCTATCTTTGAACTCTCTAAAGGCAACTCTGCTCTTTTTGTGCATCCAAAATAAGCAATGGGAGGACAGAGGCTTGGAAGCCTTGGGAGAAGTACTGATATTCAGACCTACACCTCTTGCTTGCTTTGTGGAAAGAACATCTGCCTACTATACTAGATCTTCAGTACTCCACTGTTCTCCTGTACGAGTACCCTTCCAAAGCTAGGGGCTTTGTAATCATGAAAATTATCTCTTATTGTGCAAACTCATGTCTGGGTTAGGGAACTGCATGCCCCATTAAAGCAGAGCACACTACTATTCACTCTTATACAATATACTTATGTGCTCTCTTAAGGCATAAGTTTAATGGATTCGATCTCATCTTTACCTTCCTCTAAAGATGAAGGAAAGAAGGAAGGAAAGAAAGAAGGAAGGAAGGAAGGAAGGAAGGAAGGAAGGAAGGAAGGAAGGAAGGAAGGAAGGGAGGAAGGAAGGAAGAAAGGAAGGAAATTAAACACAAATCTCACTTCTGAGTTTTGATGCAAAAATAGTGAGTATTCATTGTCTATTGCTGTGTGCTAAATTTCCATAAACATAACAGCATAGAAAGAAAGAAAGAAAGAAAGAAAGAAAGAAAGAAAGAAAGAAAGAAAGAAAGAAAGAAAGAAAGAAAGAAAGAAAGAAAGAAAGAAAAAAGAAAGAAGATGATTCATGGGTGTGAATATATCCAAAGAGACATTTTTAGATGAAAATGCCCAGATAAGTACAGTTCTTAACTACTCCACTTCACTTAGCATTATGGAGACAATTTTGTGGGAAAAGTTTATTCAAGCAACAGTAAAACAAAATCCATTTGGAAAAGCAAAAAGAAAAAGAAAAAAAAATCCGGGTAGGAATAAGAGGAGGAGGAGAAATACATGTTTAATAAAACTAGGGATAGGCACTTGTTTGTTGGTAATTGTCCACCAACCTCAAACATGCAATGGGTGACAGACCCTTTCAGTAGAAATGTTTGAGACTGGATGAAAACTGAGGTGACTTGTATGATAACAGCCTAGAAGTTCAAGAAGGAACCTGAGCTTCCCACGCCAGCGTCTGAACTGAAGGAAACAATTCAGAAACTCTCTTCTTTAGCTCTGGATCCTAACCAAAACAATAATGTAGATATAAAGATTTCTCTGCAAATTCCTAAAGCGGCTGTGGTGGAACAGTCCCTCCTGGAGTGTGAAGCATGGAATCAGAAGGCAGAACAGAAGCGCTGGGTGCTAAGGGAGAACCTCTCCAGCTTCCAGGGTGCGTGGCTGGCAGGGTTGCTCCCTTGTTTTTATGAGCTATCTCAAGTGGGCGGGAGCCAGCCGGGCCTGCGGCTCAGGCTGGGATGCTCACTACCGGTTCCCCGAGGGAGGGAGCCCCAGGCGATTGTCACCAGTCTCCAAGTCGCCAAGGCCAGTTAATTCAATTACGCCGCCCGCTGGAGAATGTGTGGGCCAATTGCTCACCGGGAAGGGGGCAAAGCAGAGAAAGGAATTAGCTTTGCTGAAAAGCCCAGCCTTTGGGTCAAGCAGTATGGCACTTATTAATTGCTCAGGACTATTAATTGGATGGGAAAAGGGAGACGGTGGGGGGGACTGTCTGTCAGAAACAAATCCTGCGTGCGCACCCATCACACACATACAGACACCAAGCACACCACACACCTGCCTCGATGAGTTTCTTTAGAAAAGGGGCGCGCTGAGCAACCCTAGAGCAGATGGAAGGGAGCGCTGACCGGTATGTGCATATGGCGCGGATGACTTCCCCAATTTTTCTTTCAGGGGCAAACGGTTTTTTTTTTTTTTTTTGGGATAAAGCGAGCGAGAGCAGTTGGCCAAATAAGTGTCTTTACAGTTCAGACTCTGGTGTGGGACGCCAGGACACCAGGGTGGGAGGACAAGAGCTTCCCAAAAGGAGAACGGTGCTCCGGCAAAGTAGACCCCTAAACTAAACGAACATCACCCTCCCCACTTTATCTCCTCTAAATACAAACACAAGCTTTTTTCGCATTCTGCATGATCTTTACTTTCCTCTAATTCCACGGGGATTCAAGAAGTACAATAAATGAAGTCCTGGACCCCTTTTGTCTTGGTACCTAGAAGTCACTCGGGAAAACGGGGTGGGGCCAGGGAGTGGAATGGAGAGGTAAGATTGCCAGTTCTTTGGTGATGTCCTGAGGTACTCAGTCAGACTGACGAAACAACTACAGGTCATTCTGCAGCTGCACTCAGCTCCAGGCCAGAGCTCATTACCGAGAGTGTCAGAAGTGCGGAGGCTGCAGTGTGGATCTTCTCCCGGACAGGCACTAACACGGGGCCAAATGCGCTGGGACAGCAGGCAGAGCAGGAGTCCACGACGTCCTGAGCCTCCTGGTTCCCGGGGGAGAGGATTTTGCGTCTGCTGACTGGACCTAAGCTTCGGAAAGAAGGTCTCTTCGCCTTAAATGAAGATGTATCTGACAGTAGGGGAATTGGGGGAGGGGGTTGTGGCCTTTCTGAGAAAGGGCCATCCTTTTCCATTTGAATTGGACTAACTGGGAAACCATCATTCACCAAAAAAGAAAAAAGAAAAAAAAAGTGCGTCTGGCAATTCCCAAGACAAGCTGCGGGCCCAACACATTTTTCTGGGGGGAGGTTTGTATATTTGATATTCGCAGGGGCGGGGGTTCCTGGGGTAAGGTCGTGGGGGTAATCCCCATCTCCCATGGACAATTATTTATTTCGTCTGTGGGTAGAATATAGAGACCTTACTCAGTCCTGGCAAACAAAAGATTCCGCTGCAAGCATTTTGGGATTCAGCCCCTCAGTGCCAACCGCACTCATCTTACTCCTCCTACTTAAAGATCAAGTTGAGCATTCTTTCTTTTCATCTTCATCGGGTTCTCAGTCTCCTGACTTCATTAGACCAAAATATGGAATTTCAAGAAGTTGGGGGGCGGGGGGCGGGGAACGACGCTTGCGCACCTTGGAAAAGGGAGCAAGTGTTCGCTGCTGACCCTTGTGCAGGGCTGAAGCATCACGGATCTCCACTTCAGACAGTGCATTTCAATTCTTGTCGTGTGCCTTTGTCCATTTATATAAAGCAAAGAACGCTGAGTGACAGCCCCAGTTAGCCTGCATGAGCAGATCCTAATAAACCCTCCCAAACCCCGACCTAAAAAAAAAAAAAAAAGCCACATGCCTGTTTGCCTGCGGCTTATTATTAAGACACCTTCTCAGCTTAAACACTTAAAAGCTAACCAAATGAAATGGCAATTAAGACTAAATTACCCCTTCTATCTCTGAGATGAGTCTGTGGGGCCAGCCAGTTCTTAAGAGACAGACATGGTTGGAGAGAGGACTTTGCAGAGTCTCAGTATTTCCGGCATGTAGCCACCGTTACCCCCTCCAGGAGCTAGACCACTTGGTTCCTGAAGGCAATTTTGAACGAAGTTAAAGCTCAAACACTGCTTGAAAGTCGAGAAATCCACCGAAGAGCTAGAGATAGGTGTGCGCTCCCTCCTTCCTGCCCTCTTTGTAAAATATAACTTTCAACCATTTAAGGGTTATTTGGGGGTACTGGTGTTCAAATACCTGGTGCCACTGCTAAATGGTCTACACCCTACACTCCCCATCCAGCACTGTTTCCCAAAGGGGAGAAGGGAAATACAAAAGAGAGAGAAAATGAGATGAGTCGGGGATTGAAAGACAACGTTTAACTTAAATGTAGAAACTTCTCATGCATTTTATTCTCTTGTATTTTTCTTAAAAATATTACCAGTTACACTATTTCTTTATGATGGGAACTTGGAACTGTCCATCATGGTTATTTGTTTTAAAAGCTGCAGAAAGTGTATGCCACCACCGGGTGTTTCCTTTCAAAAGAGGGAAAAGAACCCAAATCCGATGTAAATATGGAAAGAGTAGTATTGTTTCCACTTGGATAAAGGCAGACCCCCCAATCTGAGCAAAATTGACTTGGGTGCTTGTTGGGAAAAGCAGCTTTCAGCATCCAGGGAGTGGAACCAATAGGAATGAACACTTACTCATGTAAAAGGAAGCTTTAATTAATATATATTCCTATCTCTAATATACACATATTGAGGCTAGATCTTTATCTTCACAATAAAATGTGTGCAAATGCTCTCTGCAGAGATGAGCCCCTACCTCAGTCGGTATAGAAAAGCATGATAAAGGTTGGAAAAATGGATAAAAATGTTGAAAGAACCTCCAGTTCCTTATTAGGCGAAGATACAATATTTATTCCTTGTCTCCTGGGATAAATCTCTTCTGCCTATTGTCCTCCCAGTTCTCAGTGCTGATGCTTAATTTTCAAAACTTCTATATTACCAAGGGACCTACGACATCAGCCAAAGAAATACTCAGCAAGTACAAAATCTGTTCCAGGGAGCTGCTTTTGTGCAGAGGGAAAATTTTGTTCCTACAGGTTTTTAAGTGGGTATGAGGCAAGGAGCTATCTGATCCGGGCAAAGCTATTACAATTTAGATCTCTATCTATAGAACATTTTTTTTTCCTTAAAAAAATTGGAAAATACAAGAAGTTTGGATTTTTTTCCCCGATTCTTTTTTTGGAGGGGGAAATTGCATCGTAAGCTTTCGGAGAAACCCAACATGTCAACTACCTTTCCGGGACTAG